ATGTCATTTACATTGTTGCCGCGCCAGTCAACCACGCACCACGCACACACGCACTACGCACGCACCCGCACAGACACGCATCAGCAACACCACACGCACACACACACGCACACACACGCACCACGCACACGCACAGCACAACACGCACACCAACACAACACAACACACAACAACACCATCCCACACACATTAATAATAAGCACAGCGGTAATACTACACACACGCACATACGACACCACACGCAACGAACACGACCACACACCCCACGCATCAACGAACTCTGCACCACACCACACCACACGTCATACGACACGCGCACCACACACACCACACGCATATCCGAACACGGGACCACACTCATCATCCACACACACACCATGACAGCACACCACACAACTCACCAACACCACACCATCACACACCACCACATCCACACACCACAGCCATCAACACCGACACATACACACCACACATCACACACACCATCACACACACACCATCACACACACCACACATCACACACATCCACACCTACAACTCAACACCGCATCACACCCACACTAGCACGCCCGCACCATCACGCACCGTACATCACGCACGCGCACGACACACCTTTTACACGTTTGATAATTCATTTCAGGTTAGATTAATAGAGTTTCATGAATTCTTTAGAATTATCTTAACTTTGCATTAATAATATTTGGGCTATAAATTGGGCATTTATTATTTTCAATATTTTTTCCACTTTTAGCGCAGCTTAGCTATAGCTAGCTAATGTACTACTGTATTAGCTAATTAAAGAACTACATTACTTAGTACTAGCTAAGTTGGTACAGTAAAATATATTGAAAATAAATTTTTGTGAAGAGATTTGCCACTCCAGTATTTTTTTGTTTAACCTGCGTAGCATAACCAGATGACAAGAAATTTATCTCAAAACCATACCATGTTAAACATGAAAAATTGTGTACAAAATAGTTTTAAAAATTCAACATTTTTAAGAGCAAGAAAAAACATTTTTTTTAAATATGCACTCTATAAAATCCTCTATGTGATTTCTACAGGAGTTACATCGATAAAATAACACATTGGTTTTACACAAACAATTCTAGTTTTCTTCGGAAATTTTTCATACAAACTAAACAGGCAAATTTGAATACATTGATACCAAAATGTAAAATTCGCCAATTCCGTCACACAAGGTTGTCTTCAAGCACGATATGTGATATTGCTTAATTTTTAATGTTTTTTTTTCTATTTTCCCTATTTTTTGTTTGTTATTATTCTAATGTAATGTCGACTTTGATTATGGGTTTTGTGAAGTTTAGCAAAAGTATAACGCAGTAAGTTATTTAAATTAACTGCTCTTCATTAATTTATTTTTAAGGATTTTGTTACTGTAGGTTTTCTTCATCATTTTCTTTCTTATAGTTTTTAGCATCAGACATGGAGAAAGAGGATGTACAAACTCACCAAGTGTTTCTCTCAAACCTTCTACAACTAGGTCAATTTTGAAGATATGGCTTATCTCTATTATTACAGTGAGTAGATATTATGGGGCTACTGTATGATTATTTCTGTCCTAAAAAAATTAAGAATTAAGGCAATATCACATATCGTTCTTGAGGACAACCTTGTGTGACGGAATTGGCGAATTTTACATTTTGGTATCAATGATTCAGAATTTGCCTGTTTAGTTTGGTATGAAAATTTCCGAAGAAAACTAGAAATTGTGGTGTTAAAACAAAGTGTGTATTTATTGATGTAACTCCTGTGGTAAAAGTCACATAGGAGGATTTTATAGAGGTGCATATTTAAAAAAAATGTTTTTTCTTGCTCTTAAAAAATGTTGAAATTTTTAAAACAATTTTGTACACCAATTTTTTCATGTTTAACACGGTATGGTTTCAGATAATTTCTTGTCATCTGGTATCCTAGCAGGTTAAACAAAAAATACTGGAGTGGCAAATCTCTTCACAAAATTTATTTTCAATATATTTTACTGTACCAACTTAGATATTACTAAGTAATGTAGTTCTTAATTAGCTAATACAGTAGTACATTAGCTAGCTATACTAAGCTGCTACAGTAGAAAAAATATTGAAAATAAATAAATGCCACATTTTACAGCCCAAATATTATTAATGCAAAGTTAAGATAATTCTAAAGAATTCATGAGAACTCTATTTAATCATACCTGAAATGAATTATCTAACGTGTAAAAGGTGTCGGTGAGCGCGTGCGTGATGGTGAGCGCGCGCGCGCGTGCGTGCGTGCGTGCGTGTGTGCGCGCGCGCGTGCGGAACAATGTAAATGTCATTTCACAGAAACAATAAAAAATAACAATTGAACCATTACTTTTGGATGCCTGAAGTTAATTGATCTATAAATATCTAATAAGGTGGTAGGACAATTCAATTTAACTGTACTGAATTGTCACAGCAATTTTAACACTATAAGAGTAATATAGTAAAAATAAAATCACAGAATTAATGAAAGGCTAAAACTTAAAAATAAGTATCGAAAGGCAATTCAAAACAAACTAATATAAATACCAAAAAATGGTAAATAAAGCAATAAATAAATTTAACCCTCGAATATACTGAATTATTAAAGAGTAAATTCAAGTAATTTTCATTTTAATTTTCAAACATCAAGAAAATTATGATCTATTAATAACTCTGAAGTGCCTGCAATTAATAATAATTCTTTATTAGAACAAATTAAAGCGAGCATGCAAAAATTGCAACTTATTAACCACATGATAAAAGTATATATGCAATAAATTATGAACAAACTTTAAAAATCAAAATATTTTCTTTGTTTCATATCTTTCAATTACCAGCAACCTATTATGAAACAAGCATTCTAAACTGATCCTAAGAACATGCCTGAAAAATACTTACTAATAAT